TCCTCATTCAACGCGTCTATGTGTCCGGCACTCCAACATCACTCAACCCGTGGGGTTCCAGCAGCTATCCCCACGCAACCCGTCTATGTGTCTGGCAATCTCAAACCTCCCCTTTCCGTGGGGTTTCAGTATACAGCTATAATCACTCAACACGTCTATGTGTCCGGCAATCTCCTACATCACTCAACCTGTGAGGTTTCCGTAAGCAATCCTCACTCCACGCATCCATGCGTCACGCGTCTTTGGTAGCGCATACTATGGGGGCTATATTTGGGGTGGCGTGTTTTACAGCGCTTTGCCAACAGCGCCAACCCACTGAAGTCTAGATTGCGGGGGGCGGCTGGGTGGGGGGGGGAGGGGGATAAGTCAAACAAGAGGTTCATTTCGGCACGGTGTTTCGCGCCACTCGGTCCGCCTCTTCGCGTTTCCTGCGTTTCCTCGCCGTCTCGTCCGCCTGCTGTACCCCTCCCACCCCCGTGGTTGTTGCCGTGTCCGTGTTGTTGTCGGGCTTATTGTTTCGTTTGAGCGCTCGTTGTCGGCTAGCCTCCTCTTCCTTCTTGTGCCAGGAGGCCATGAACCTCTTAGCTCCCTGCAGTACCCCTGTATGCCACCGCACTCCCCGGTCCACCTTCGCTGCTTCCATCCAAGTTGATTCCGGGACTCCGAAGAAGCATGGCTCGGCACTACTGTGGGCTTATTTTTTAAGTGGTGCGGTTGAGTTGGCAGATCCCCCCGTCAAGAAGGCAGGAATGCCTCCATATCTTGGTTTTCCAAACCCTTAACTCCCGTGTAGTATGCTATACCAAAACGTCCCGCAAATATCGCTTGTGTACAACGCTACTAGCCCAGATTGTAGTCCTTGTGATACACTACCGATTGCGGGTCCGCGATTTCAAAGGATCCTTCTATCGTCGAGATCGGTGAGCTACAAGCAGGAGCTGCTGTGCAGTCCGGTTTTCGAACGCTTCAAGCACACAGCGGTAGCATGCATCATGACCGCGAGAAACAGCGCATACGTGAGTGCGTGGGACCGCGAACTTCAGCGCAGCTCTTCCCTCACACATCCTCGTCGTCGCCGTAATCAATTCGAATGCCTGGAGTCATGTGTACCATGTAGGTCGAGCCAAAGGCAAAGATGCTTGACGCGTTCGAAAATCGGACAGCACGGCAGCTTCAATATCTTGCTCTTGTAGCTCACCGATCTCGATGATGAAAGATGAAAGGATCGTTTGGAAAATCGCGGACCGCTAATCGGTGGTGCATCACAAGGGCTACAATGTGAGCTACTAACGTTGTACACAAGCGATTTCTGCGGACGGTTATTGTACGATGGTAGATTCGTGCTGATGTTGGAGTGAGATACGCAACAATTTCCTTAATTTTGAAAACATGTGCTAACTCCACCACTACCTTAAATGCCTTACACTGATTTCTTATCAGTGATACCAGCTATTGCTAATAACGACAACATCTCTTGTATTCAAGTGGAGGAGATGAATGTGTTTGTGTCACATGCGCAATTAAGAAAACAAAGTGTAGACAATGTACACTACCACAAGTTCTACATCAGTTTAGAAGGAAAACTGTACGTGGACTTGAAAGAAAACTGCAGGATATTTGCGCACGCTTCATGTCGAAACCGAAAGGACGTAGGATTAGGAAAAGAACGTGTCTTTGACCTTCAAAGGAAATGCAGGATATTTACGTTGGCCATGGCTCCGTATCGTGCTGTGTCTCTTTTCGAATTGCTGCATGCAAAAAGTGATCGTCGAGTACCAATGCGATTACCATTTCGCTACTGTTGCGTCCTTACCTTCGTCTTTGGTGGCTATGTCTAATTGTAGTAAGTACACAGGTTGTGTTAGACAGAACCACCAAACAAAGCAGGAGATATATACGCAACAGTGAAATGGCAATCGTGTTGGTACTATATAGACGATCACTATTTACATACAGCAGTATTTCGAAAAGAGACACACCGCGGCCTGGAGCCATGAATGGGAAGAAAGAATGGACAAAGAACGATTCAGTGTGTGGTGGAAGCAACAACGATCGTTTGTACTGAATGAAGACTAAGAAAGGAGTACGCTAAAACGAAAATTGGTTACGGCCTATCTATGCAATGGTTGTGGTCGTGTCCATGCGGTTGTGGGTACATGTTACGATATGATTGGGCAAGAGAGTTGCAGAACATCGTACGAGGTCGACACATACAGCAGATGTAGAATACTCTTAAGAAGCAAACGTTGGCTGTTTAGTTACTTCGATGGGTGCGGGAGCGCGGCCGTGCACCGCATGGCCTCGTTCGTCTATGCACATGACGCATTCTGTACGGTACAGGTGGGCATACACAAAAATCCTCAGAAAACCCTCGTGGATGGTGCTCTGGTTATGAAAAGGAACCAGCCAGTTAGCGAGTTAGCACAAGTCTTTCGAACAGTCTCAACATGCGTCCTTGTTCATCGGCAGTCTTCCTCCCACCGGCGATTGACACCAGATGGCCAGCAGCATCGAAGTTGCAGGGCCTTGCCCTCGCTGTGCTCACAACAGCCTCATCGTGGCGTGACACGGCCATCGTGACGTGGACTATCTGGTCCTTCTCGATGATGTGTGCTTTGCAGAAGCGCTTCACGACGACCGCATTCTATGGCCGACGAATACCCGGAGTTGGTCGGCGATGACATCAGGCATAGCTGCACTGGGCATCTTCGCCGTTGGCGACCTCGGACTGAAAACATGGAGCACCGACCCTACCGAAGGCCCAGGCACGGATGGGCAAGGCCTTAGCCTGGGATACACCTAGAGGTACTGGAAGCTAACGGTGAGGGCATGCGGTTGTTAATTATTATCATACAACAATTAGGAACCGTATGCCCTCACCGTCAGTTTCCAGTTCTTCTGGGCGTATCCCAGGCGAAGGCCTAGACCACCCGAACATGGGTGTTCGGTCGCGTCCGTACTCCATGCGTTCGGCACGAGGTCGTCCACGGCGAAGATGCCGGCGCAGCTGTGCTTGATGTCATCGCCGATCATTCCGGGTATTCTTCGGCCACAGCTCAAGGCGTCTCGTGATATTGAGAAAAACATCAACATCAATTTAGTGCGAGGATGGATGTCGCCTCAGAGCGACTCGTGCATGGTGGCGGCAAGCATGTTCTCTGTCACACACACAACTACAGACACAAGACCGTGGCCGAAGGGAGACGGCGCTTCTGCAATATTTACTTCGCGAGGTCACACGTGGTCACGCAAAGCAACTCTGCTGTGCAGAGCGTCATTTATGTACAGCAGCAGCAGTAGTACATACCTTCATGGCGACGGCGCTACTTCATATATGCACTTCGTCGGCGTGAACATGATGTCGCGAGGTCACACATGGTTACGCCAAGCCATTCTGCTGTGTTTCGTCCTGTGTGGAGCAGTAAGTAGTATTCATGATCGTCATCGTCACACGTTATTTGAGGGGCGTGTTCGGCGCTTCGCTGCACGAAGGGCAACCTGACAATCGTCGAGACTTCCAAATGGGGCCCGTTTTAGCCTTGTGACCAAGGGTCGAACATTCATGGCGCCGATATGCGGATACACCGTCAGCCGGTGGAAGAGGTCCCAAACATGTTGGGCTGTGTGTCTGTGACGTTTCTAAGTGCCCAAAGGGCCAGGCACAGTGCTCTTCTTACGCTTGGGCGATGTGTACACCGGCAGAATGGTGACGTGGTGCTTGCAGCTGTTCTTGTTTGTGTTGGTTGCGATAATCAGGCTTGAGGCGAACGGTAGCGGGAAGGGATTGTGAGCACAGTCTCCGGGAATATGATGTGCGTGCATCGTCCAGTTTCTAAATCGCTTTAGCATGTGGGACATCGGTACATACTTCGCCCGCGTGTACTGAGGATTGATCCCTTCTTGGATGGGGTTGGTAGCCTTGGCCATCATGTCTGCTCTCGCATGACACCATCTGGATCATGTCGTCATCATTCTGTGACGTTACAGTATTGGGACGTCCCCGACCCTGCTCTCCTCTAATAGTGTTATGAAAAGTACACTACATCAATGATGGACTACGTGCCGTTTGGATGCCCCTTGTAGGAGTGGGTGGACGCTAGCCGAAGGAGAGACTACCTTTTAAAGGGTTGTGTTTCATCTGTGCTACATTCATACTGCTGTATCCGTTCAAAAAATGTCCGATCTCTTGTCGCAAGAGTCGATAGATCAACGACGGAAAATTGGGGGTAACAACCTCCATTAGCACTGTAGACAAGGCAGTAGCCCGAAGGCATTGCCCCTCGTTTTGGTTGTACTATAAACACAAGTGACTTCCCCTGCGCCGCTACATCATAACGAACGCAGGCGGCAGAAGATCTCGCCGCTGATGTGCTCACTCCCGAGGAAGAGTATCTCCTCAAGGTCTTGCGACGGTGCAGCGGCAGCGAGAGCACCACAACTGCAACAGCGGCGTCTCCGGCGGCATCGAAGAACCAGAAGCTGCTGCAGCAGCCGACGACGTCCAGGCGCTCCCCGAGCCCACCGGTGCCCAAGACCTCTCCGCCCCTCTCCAAAGGGACCCCTGTTGCCACCGCTGCCGCTGCCGCCTCTGGCGATGGAAAGCCAGGGATAGCCGCAGCGACGGTTCCCCAGGCCGAGGAGAAGCCCGGGCCTGCACCGATGGATGCTGTGAGCAGGGCGAAGATGATATTGGAGAAGAAGAGGAAGGCCGCCGCCAGGTTCGGATCCGGGGCGTCCTCCGGGGCGGCGGGCGTGCTGAGGAAGGCCAAGATCACCAAGGCTACCGGTACTCCGTCTTCCAATCCCCGCCTGGATCCCATAAAGGCAAGGGGTGCGCTCCGCGCCGTCGCCGGCTTTACACTGTTGTGGATTGGGCACTACAGCAGCGTGTGGAAGATCCGGAGGAGATGCCATTTTCCGTTGGAGGAGTCCAGGGAAACAACAAAGTGATTCCTTCCGTGGTAGTACCTTTCGCTCCCTGTTTTTCTTGCCTGTCTTCAGCGCTATTCCTTGATCTGCCTGTACCCAGCTCGAGTACCTATTTACATATGCTTCTCTCGTTTGTCTTTCCCTCCCAGTACCCGGCCTCTGGCCTTCTGCTGAGGGACGAGTACCGGACCTTCGCAGAGATCGAAAAGGAAGGAGAGCGTGCCTACGAGCCTCTAGACCCGCTCGTTCGGCTGCTCAAGAACTTCGGTATCGCCGACAGCAACAGCGGTGCCGATGGCGTTGTAAAGAAACAGTTCCACGAGACGTTGGTCATGCGCGCGACGATTCCGGCGCACAGCACGTCGTGGGCCATCAACATTTGTCCCAAAGACCACAAAAACTTCGAGGAGATCTTGTTCCATTTCAACCCCCGCCGGAGATTCGTGGCGATGAACAACCGGGAGGGTAACATCTGGGGGCAGCAGGTACTAAAATACTGCTCTTATGTATATGGCGTTGGAACACCACGGGTTGTTCTGTCGTCGCGTAGCACACGTAAAACCGTGTTGCAACAAGGACGTCGATAGTTCATGCGCTTAGTGAGATGCCGTTCGTGCGCCGGAGATACCAGCCCGTGTTCCGCCTCGCGTACGGGGTTTCCTGAACGCCATCGCTTCCGCTAAGAACGACACTGCGCGCTTAGTGCCTTGTTGGCGACACTCTGTGTTGTCTCCGCTGCTAAACGTTGCTGCTTTCGTTTGATTTTTTGTGTTGTGATCGTTTTTTCTTTCGTTGATGCTGAAAAAAACAATCAAGCACCTATGGAATTGGACATGTTAAATAGCAGCGCGAACTGCAAGAGCTAAAACGAAAAAAATCATTGTTGAGTAAATTGTTAGTTCAAACTGATAGAAATCTCACTGGATTAGGGTCTGCTAAGACTGTGCAGTCACGAACAGTTCCCTGATGGTTTTTCCTGTGCTATAATTTGGTGTGTTGCTTTCAGCGAACTTCAGATCTGCTGAGAAGAGGTCCTCGCTGAAAACAGTACGTATATGTTACCCAGTATGTGACGAGAGTGTTACAACAACCTCTCCCAACATGTCTACCGTGCCTTCAACGCGTACCGGTTTGCAAAGACTGAGCGTGAAAGCATGAATAGTGGAGTACACACTAGTCTCCAAGCTTGAGAAAGGTGAACAATTTGTGTTCTGGCCCTAAGTCATGCCCTTGCAGAGATAAATGCACCATCATCTTTTAAAACATGGCCAGTGTGTTGTTTTGTGCCATTTCGGTTGGCTCGACATCTACGTGCATGCCTGGTTCTGTTTATCCCTTTTCGTCTCCTCGAGAAGTTTCATAGTCTGGGTCTGCCGAATGCTCCGAGAGTTGTTAGACGGAGGAGTTGGTGCGGATGCAGTCCTAGCTTTTCGAACTCCCAGACAGCAGTTGTTATCGGATGATATATATGATATCATGTAACCTAGATAACCTGCGCCCGTTCGCGGCTCCATTTTTCGTGCTCGTTGCGCACCCAGGAAAAGCACATGCTCTCCACAAGATGGCCAGAGGTGTTCAACGTTTCTATCAACCTTGCGGTTCAGATCGACGCGGCGGGATTCCATGTCGCTGTGGACGGTAAATACTGCGCAACTTTTGCCCACAGAACGTGAGTAGTTGTTGGTGCTTCAGAAGCACCCCATGTTGGCTTGATAGGGTATCTTGGTGTCTCGTTGAGGGATCTTGCTGCTTATGATCCCTTTCTTTGGCCAGGAACCACACAGAAAACGAACAACGAGAACATCCGACCCCGACAGCACCGACGAGCCGTTTCTCCGGTCCTATTGATGGAGAGCCGCGGAGCTTATTATAAAAATCCATCGCTGTCTTACCTGACAGGAAGTTCTGCCGTATTATCATAGGCGAAAGTATCGCGGTCGTAGCTTCTACAGGATTCGATGAAGACCGGGGTATGCGTGTTCGTCTTCATTTTTTGTTTGTCTTGCTTCAGCATGGTGAACGGTTGTCGGCGCAAGGTGGGTTCCCACGACGAACAACGCGGCTGTCATGCCTCGCCTGCAACTCGGCAAGCTTGCAAGGTGTCCATGGTAGGCATTCTGCCGATACGCACCGCATGCGAAGCACCAAAGGGGGCGGTATGCAAGGACGAACGTGCAGCTGTGGTAACGCTGAGAATGGCCTGCTTGTGGTGCAACTTTTTTTTTCGTCGCTATGACTCGTGCTGGTTTTGCAGAAAGGTGCCCCCGAACGACGAGGAGCTAGTCCTTCAAGTTATGACTAGAGACGACTACGACACCAACCTGCCGCTTGTCGTGCATGAGATTTGGTGGGGACACAAGGACACAATGCCTGGCCTTCCGTGAGTGCTGCATGCGGATTGTCTACAAAGGAGGTTAATTGTCGCATTCATCAGGCACACCTTTTGGTCCATCTTGGTTACTGGGATTCTGTGCAATGCGGGCTGTTTTCTCGGCTGCCGACGGTTTACCCCTTGAAGTGAACCAGCACGTGCGAATGGTTGTAGATCGTTTTTCGCTTAATTCCAGAACCATGCTCGGTGCCGTCAATTCGACCTCACTCGGCGCAAGACACCGTAACACTTCACATTGTAATATGACTCGATGTTGCACGAACGGTGTGTTCATCCCACAATTTGATGTCGAGACGCCCTCCTCCTATTTAGCTCGCCGCTGACATCGTGCTCGTGCCTTCCCTCGCCCTTGTGCTTGATTTAACAACCGTTGTCCGCCGTCATACACATGAAAAGGGGACGAGACAAAGAGCCCAATAGGCGAACAGCGGAGAATTGGCGCGGCAGCAACAGCAACGACGCGTTTGTGGACCTGCACGCGGCGGGACTACCTCCGATGCCCAATTCAGACCTGCAAGAGTCGGTCCGCAAGAGACTGGTCGATATGTTCCAGCCCTACGGGGCGATACAAGTCAGGGTTTTCCACCGTGAATCCAAAAACTTCGGGTGAGACCGCTGGCCAGTGTCGGCCCCATGACCGGCCCGTGTTCCGTGTTGCACGCCCTACTTTGTGCTTTATGAGAGGCGAGATTTTGTGTCGGGACGTGGGCTCGACTTGTTGAGAGGTAATGTCGGTGCTTTAGTCGCCTCCTTTGGCTGGACTGGCGTAGATACCAGCACAGGAACGCGGGATATATCCTATTCAAGCTGACTAGGTGGCACTTTCGGGCCACCACCTTGTAAACCTCATGCTACTCTACTCCCTTACATGGCGCTACCCCGGGCTGAAATCGGGCCTGATTCTTACAACACGCGCGCGCGCGCGTCATGTGCCATGGTTCCGCTCGACCGCCAGGTTCATCAAGTTTCGCGAACACAACGATGCCGCGAAAGCGCTGGAGGAGTTGGGTGGAGCCGAGGTGCATGGCAAACCTATGAGGCTAAGCAAAGCCGCAGCCAGATAGGGTTTGTGAGCCACGGGTGGGTCTCCTCCAATGGCACTTCTGCTGGCATGCAGATTGGTGCCGGTGTCAAACATGGGCAAAGGATGTGCGAATTTGGCTGCCTTCATGGCTGTGCGGATTTTTTGCGCAAGATGCCCGCCACCCCGTGGATTCGCTGCGAATACATCCGGGATAGAAGTATTTTTTTTTAGGGCTGGAGGGCGATGGGACAGCAGTAGTGGACTGGGAGGGGCTGCCATACAGCAGTTGGGTGTCAGGGTTATACGGCTCGCCGTTCTGGTTTGGCGAACAACATACCGTGCAAAAGATTGGAGTGTATGTACGTTGTGGTACTGTACAAATGAAGTTGTGCATTTATGGTGTGATGCCAACGTGTGTTGGGGCCGTACCGGCTGTGTAGTTTGTCTCAAGTTCTTACCCTTGGCTTGGCACCCTTGCCCCGCGACGCTTAATTCAGTTTGGTACGCGAATAGAAACGTAGTAGATGCTGGTGGAGGGTTCCGTTTTGCCCACGTTGTGAACGGAAAGACGATGGTTTTGCAACACCTTGACCCTAGCACCTCGTGTTCATCTGTAACTACGTCTAGAAGAAGCTCTTCTCTTGCTCGTCAAGCCATCCATCGCTGCAACGGTGATTCGGATTTTTACGGCCCGTTCGGGTTGCGTCTTCCACGCAAAAGTCCCAGAACTGTGCGCCCGCCCATGCCTCGGTGCGATCTCGTATCCACCGATTGATCAGCACACAAGAGATCGACTTTTTTTCGTAACATTTGCGACAAGAAGTGGAGAGTGCGCAATCACAAAGGGAGCTCGTCAACCGGCTCGTGCACTCACGGCTGTGAAGCACATGAGTGTTACGCAGCATGGCGACGGAGGCCTTTGCTGTACTGTTTGACTTATCAATTATTTAACAATTTACCGTTCCACCTGTTTTTCAAATCACCATGGACCACGCTGACTCTTGCGAAGGACTGCTGGCCTGGTATTCACGCTACAGGCCAAAATAACGGTCGCAAACGGAGTAATTCCACCACGTTCCCGACCACCACCTCGTCAGGCACGAGTTCTCAGAACTCTTTACCAACCACGGAACATTATAGGCCACCTCCCCATCTCTGCGCTAGCCTTACACAAGCGACGCGCGCACGAAGTCTACCACCGAGTCCAGCCCCCCTGCCTTCGCCACAGAACAACTCGCGACGACCACCTCGCAAGGCGAATCCACCTCCAGGCTGAAGGGCTGCCCGGGCCGCCCCAACGCCATCGCGACCGGCATGTCGTCCTCCTCCCCCTGCGTCCCAAGCATCCCGCGGGTGCCTCTCAGCTTGTCCAGCTCCTTCTGCAGCAGGGTCTTGGCCCGAGACGCCTTGGCCTCTTTGAGGTCGCTCTTGTTGAGCGCGAGCATGAGCCCTCGGCAGCCCTCGAGCGACGGGTTGGTGAGGACGTCGTAAAGGAGCTCGGCGCCGGCCGCCACCTGCGCCGCGAGACAGGACCCGTCCAGCATGAACACGACGCGGTCGGCCCCGCGCAGCTCTTCGCCCACCCCGCCCCTGAGTCTCTCGTGGCCTGGGTAGTCCACCAGCGACCCGGACCGAGCAGAAGACGAGGGTCCATTGCCGTTTCGAGCTAGTAGTTCGGATAGCCGGCCGCTGCTGCAGGGATACCTGCAGGTCTCCATCGAGGTTGTCGTCGGCACTAGGCCGGTTTCTCCGCCGTGGGAGAGTCGGTAGCACATGGCCGTCTTCCCGGAGCCACAGGGCCCGAGAAATAGCACCACACCTTTGCGTTTCTTTGACGACCCGCTGCCACCCCCGCCGCCGATGCCGACCTTCCCGAGCAACACGAGCAAGAAGATGGCGATAGCGACCCCGGGGAATACCAAGGAAGCGGACGGTAAGCCGTACTCCGCCAGGAACGATTCCAGCGACGCCAGGAGCGATTCGAGCTGAGAGAGAACGGAAGCGGCCTTGTCACTGTTCGACGCGAGCGCCTGCGCCACGACGCCAGCGATTTCTTCCTCGCCAGGCTCGGCGGCACCGCTGCCCGAGCTCGTTGTTCCGGGTGCAACCGCCGTCGACCGAGCAGCACCAAGCAGCACCAGCAGCGCAGCAAAACAGACTGTTCTATTCCCAAATCCAACGCCGCCGCCACCGCCGACACGGCACGAGGCAACAGGGGCGACGTATACCGTCGTCGGCTCGAGCATGGTCGCGGCGTACAGCAGCAAACATGCTGTGCTGTGCAGCACGAAGGTTGGTCGCAGAATACCGGTTCTACTGTGGAGTGCTTAGGTTAGGTATGCGGTTGGGGCGTAGTGATGATCGACGGAGCCCCTATGGGAGAAGCTCAAGTTGACTTGCTTGCGTGTAGGCCGTAAGTGAGATCAGCGGGCGTGTGTCATGGCGCGTTCGGCATGCTCCCACTGCCGCTGCACGATGATTCCCAACTTAAACCTCACGGTTGCAATTTTGGCACTAGGTAGACTGTCTAGCTACGCTCAGGGGTTCGCGTTGCAGCAGTGGCTGGTCGCTCGCCCGTCAAGCAACTACGACAGCAGCCGGTAAGTACGTTTACACATGATACATTGTTGTTGAAGGAACAACTGGAGCTGTTCTGAGCATAGGTGCAATCATAGGATGCCTACCTGTGCTTGTCTTATGTGCCCGTGCCGGTGTGCCTGAGAAAAACTCAACTGTCTCCCCTCAATCTTGGGTATCATGTGCTCCACTTTCGTGTTCTGCAGGAAGGGCATTGACGCCCTGTCCGCTGAGCAAAGTCCAAACAATGGGCTGGATAACGGAGAGCTTGTCGTCGATACCCACTTCGTCCCTGGGGACGGGAGGTACGTGCGCGTAGTCGCCACACTCGCATTTCGCTGGTGGTGCATGCTTACGAGCTGCATGGCCTTGTTTACACTTGCCTGCAGGACGCGGTTGGTTGCACACAACTATTTCTGATCGACTTATTTATGTAACTCGGGTACTATCCAATGAGTGCTGCATGGCGCGCTGCCGCCGACCCCGCGAATCGATAGTATAGCGGCAAGTCGATCAAGTTTCACCAGAGAGCGGGGGGTTGTACTCATAGTCGTGCATGCCGTAGTCGTTAGACCATTGACCTCGAGAGGGGGGGGGGCATTAAAGAACTCAGCGCAGAGTCGCTGCGTTGTTGGATGGGTTGCACCTCACCTGAGTATACTCGAGGTGTCAAGAAAGAGCGGCGTTCTCCCAAGCTTTTGTCGACAGCACGTAAGAGCCTGTTCCAGAATGACACGGTTTGCTTTCCGCCCGCCTTTTGTACCCCGCCCCGCACAGAATCGAAATCCTGACGAACGATTTGCTTTCAAAGGCCCAAGGTCGAGTAGCCATACGCCTCCGACCGCACGCGAGCTCGTCGGAGGAGGAGGGGGTGAGAGGGGGGAGGGGGGCCGAGGACGAAGGATCTGACGGCGTTGAAGTCAACGACGGGATGGTGTTCAGCAAGGATTGCCTGCCGGCGTTTCGCTTTGAGCGGGGAGGGCTAGCTTTCGACGAGTATCACACCCACGGCGATGTGCCTTTCGAGGAGGAGCTTGCCAAGAGGGTAGAAGCCGCGCTCTCGCTGTCTCGGCCGGAGGATACGTGTGAGTTCTATCCTCGTCCTTTGCTTGGTTGATTCGCCTGCGGTGACTGCAGGACGTCGCAACGTGAACCTGCTTGCTGCGAACGCTTGGTTGAGTCCCAGGCTTGGAACATGAGCTTGTTTCTTCCTTTCCCACGCTAGCAGCCTCTGTTCGGGTTCGATGCGTGCACTCCCCTTTCCCTTGTTGGGCTGACCTCACCAGGTGGGTGAAAGCCCGAAGCTTAGACCAGCATCACTGGCGAGCTGCACATGTTTGGCGTTGATTGTTTTAGCTGTTTTGGTGATCGCGTTGCTCCTTCTCCTGGCAACAGTCGTGACGATTGCTTCTCATCGCCCACCGTATCAGGGGACCGTTGTTGTCGACTTGCCCCCCATGTCTCAAAGCGCCTGCGCCTGCTTTGTCTGGTGCGCTTCCGTTGCTTTTTTCCACAGCGACTCTGAAAGAGCTATGGTCTCCCGATGCGGAGGGTGGAGACTATCGGGATGAGATGGCGGTTGCCACATACGTCGTGCAGATCGCCAGCCACGTAGCGAGGGAGCTGCAGGGGGAGCTATGCAAAGCGGAAGCCATCAGGTCTGGGACATGATGCGATGGTTTATACTGTGTAGTGGGCAAGAGAACAACAGAGGGCAGTGGCAGAAGGTGGTATTGTAGTGTCGAAGTAGCGGGATGGTATCCACGTTGTGCGAGTGTTCCTGTGCCAAGCTAGTGCTGAGAGCGATATTGTTGGATCCCGCCCACCCCGACGTTCGGCCAAATCTCGCCCTTCGGCCTCGGCCCTGCCCGGCCTCATCACGTCGCCATGTGCTCCGCAGCAAGACGGACTCGTCCCCCGTGACGGTGGCCGACTTCACCGTCCAAGCGCTCGTGCTGGGCGTGCTCTCGAGGTACTTTCCCGGGCACGGCTTCATCGCCGAAGAGAGCTCCTCCGTCCTTCGACAGGACCCGGAATCCTTGTCCCACGTCCTGTCCGTTGTGAGGACGGTGCTGGGGCGGCAGGGTCTGGCGGAGGCCGATCTGTGCGCGGCCATCGATCTGGGAACGCGCGGGCATGGCAAGAACAAGAGGGGGCGCAGGGGGAAGGGAGGCAGGACCTGGGTGCTTGACCCGATTGACGGCACGAAGGGGTTCCTACGAGGGGAGCAGTTTTGCGTGGCGCTGGTGAGGAAAGAGGGGGCGAAAAGGGGAGTGGGGCATATGCTTGGTCGATTGCTCCCTCATCGTCAGGCGTGCTTTGTACATGTATCTCAGATTGCACCGACAGCCGGGCGCTGTTTCGGCAGGTGTAGGTGGTCGCTTATTACTCTGGCAACGGCGATAAGAATTCTGACACCTGGGTATATCACAGTTTCTGAATAGGTATGCGCCCTCCCTCCCGCAAGCTGGGGAAGCTGAAAGCAAGGAGATGCAATCGATAAACCAGGGCCGTCAGTTTCATCAAACAACGTTGACGTTACCATAGCCCTGTCAAGCCCCGCTTTTCGCCCTCCTGCGAGCAAACCCCGTCACCCCCCCACACACACGCCCCTACACGCTCAATCCCTCCTTGTTGCAGGGTCTGCTGGACGGTGGGAAGGCTGTGGCAGGCGTACTGGGGTGCCCAAATCTTCCATGCCACAAGCACCCATCTGAGTTTTCGGGATGGGCTCAGGGAGGGGAGGCAAGGTGAGGTGCAGAGTTGATCTCTGCATCCAATGTGCATGAACTTCCGGGCCGTTACTGCTTGATGTGAGATTTCGTCGATTGATGCTCGAAAGATTGTCCTTCCACCTTTGGTGTGAAGTTAGGCTTAAGGGAGATCCCGGTATCGGTGGCGTATCCCATGTGTCGCCCCTTCCGTCTTAGTGAGAATCCCTTTCTACTTTTACAAGAGCATCCACCGCCCTCAACCCTGTCCCAGTTTTCTCATAAACGAGTCCTGGCGCGCATGTTTGAGACTGTGTTATGGTGTCAGCCTCGGTCCTTCTCTCACCAATCCCGGCGTACCATCTCAGACGTCTCTCTGTCTTGTGTTCCTCGCCCGCCGCTGGCATCGAGACAGGGGGCTTCTGTACACCGCGGCGCTTGGAGAAGGGACGTTCGTGCGCGGGATCTCGGCCGGCGCGGACGATTCTAGGCGAGTCTTCGTAGACCACGCTCGGAAGCCGTGTGACACTCGGGTGTTGGAGTCGGTGGAAGCTGGCCACACGTCTCATGCAGTTGCGGCGCAGGTTTGCAACGACCTCGGAATTACGCTTCCCCCCATCCGGGTCGACGGGCAATGCAAGTACGGGCTGCTCTCGGAGGGACAGGTAAACCGTAGCGAGAATCTCGTTGTGTGCCATACTTACGGTAGAGAAAGCATGGGAGGGGGTCTAGCACTTATATGTTTGGGGTCGTATGCATGGTGTGATTTGGCGTTTAGCCAAGGGCTCGCTCGCGTGGCTTGTTGGGTGCGCGGCGCAGACTGTAGTAGAGGTCCTTTGAGTTGGCGTCTTCCTTCCGCACGCACGCACTTGATTTCAAGGTGGTGGGTGTGGTGAGAATGTGCTTTGGTGGTGACATGTCTCAGCTGTTCGAACACTCCGTCCTCGACATGGTTGTGTAAAGGCTCTGACCGACCAGACCAGACTCGTCGCTCGTGCCTCAAACGAAACTGACAGGGAGGGATCTACCTTCGCCTCCCGCGTTGGGGATACGTGGAGAACATCTGGGATCACTGTGCTGGGTCCGTCGTTATCCGAGTGAGACAGGAAACAATTAAAGGAGCTAATGGAAGTAGTCCCGACGGGGTTGGTCGGGGGAGGGAGAGACTTTCAACACACTTTGCAACACGTCTTGACCAAGGGAGGGGACTCGACGTCAAGTCTGGTGGTCACTCCTACAATCACTGTGCACCACAACAGTTACGCGGCTGCAGGGCGTACATCCCCAACTCTTGCTTCTGTTCACGCCACCTGCTCCACCGCTTTGTTCGCGTTGTCCAGGAAGCCGGCGGGAAAGTGACGGACACCCGCGGGGAGCCACTTGACTTCTCGTTGGGCACCAAGCTGCCGCGCGAGGTGAGTCTGTCTGTCCGTCTGCCTGTCTGTTATATCTCCGCGGGGCAACGCGTCTATTTAGCACAGGAACAGCATGCCCGGTCAGAACACGTACGCAAACGTCAATTTGGATGCGTTGCTTGTTATTCGTCGTTATAGGCTCTGACTCACAGGCTCTGTTGTCGGCTGCCAGGTTGTCGGGGTGGTGGCGTCTTGCGGACGGGTACACTCGGATGTTCTTCGCGCGGTAGACAACCGCCAGCTCGAGGACTGGGCGAGGTAAGAGGTCCACACTACTACTCATGTTCGACCTGGTACTCTTGCTTCCAAGGGACTGCCTGCGCAAAGAGGTGAACTGTATCTATGCAATAGAGACAGGGGTTACGTAGACCCTAGCCCTGACCAAAACCCCCGAAATCCCACCGATTCCATGCTTGATCCAACGTGCCTGCCTCATTAAAAGCGGCGTAGGCTACTCGTTTCTAACAACAAGTGCAATACAGCAATACCCTGGCCGTTGCGCGACTGTTGACCGTGGCTATATTCTCCTTGTTGACCGGTTTGTGCCGACAGGTTGTAGTGACTGTTGCTCAAGACTGACATTGCTCGCTCGCTTGGTCTTTTGCGTCGACAATGAAACGGCGTTCGGCACGCTCCTTGGTTTACCAAGCTGCTGAAGCGCCCCCCCCCCTGGTTCATTTTTTTCCCTCCATGTATTTGGGCTTGCGGACCTACCGGGAACAAAATCGTCTCAGGGTGGTGGCCAGGGCCGAGACCAAGTCGCGGGAGAGCGAGCCGCCACCGGGGAGCGCGGCGCCGTCGCTGCCGGGGGTGGAGTGGATGCCATTGAACGATGATATCGGCGGCAGCAGCGTGGGGGAGGCTTGGCAAGCGACGGCGCTATCGCAACGACGGCCTCTGGTGATGCGGACGAGCGACCAGTTCTACGGGACTCTCGCGCGGTGCGTGCGTTTTTCCAGTGCATGGGATATTTAGTGGTTGGTTTTACATGTATCTCTTGATGTTCGGTTGAATGATGTGGTGTGTGGCTGTATATATGATGCCTGGCCCAGGTTGCGTTGTCCACCTAGTACCAAGGGAGGTTGCTCTATGTGCCTTTTTCGTGGCTGGTGCAGTGCTTGTTGTGCCCTCGACTTGACTGCTGCTCGGAGGAACTCCCTCATCTCACTGGTCGGTTCGCTGGCGTCCCTCGTTTGCACAGAAACTGGCACAAGCTGGTTGCTGTTCTCTTTCACGGCGGCACGAGCTACTCCCAGCACGCAGTGGGCATCCTCGAAAGCCTCGCCCTCCTGCAGCAGGAGCCACCAAAGAGCCAGCAGCCCAACGACCCGCGCCAACAGACAGACCCGCAAGAGCAACGGCGACATCGCTCGGGGCTGTCAGGAGCCAAGCCGCCATCGCCACCGAGGGCACAGCCCGATCTGGAGCGAGAAAGCGTTGCTGCGGCAACCACGACGACGGGGACGATACAACCGGAGGCGGAAGAACCGCGGGCGGAACGGGTGCCGGTCTTGCTAGCGGAGGCCAACGTCATGAGCCTTATCGAGGTGTGTTGTGCGGTTGTTTGCTAGCCGTTCCCGGGAACAGAGTGGAAGTGTCGACACCTTCAACAAATTCATTAACGATCAGTCCCTCGTGGAGGAGTGCGCATAATGCTTGAATTTGATACACCAGGCGTCATGACGATCAGCTCGCTCGCTCAACGGCTGCATCTCGACGAGTGCTGAAATCTCTCCCACGTGACTCCGTCAGCATTATCTTCATGTTACACCGATTGTAGCAGCTCGCTGCAGCAATTCCGTTGAAACAAGTCCCCAAAAACTTTTGCACCCAGGAGGACGCACCCACACCCTTCCGCAGGCCGAAAATGTCCTACGCAGGAAAAAAAGAGGACAAGAAGTTTCAGCCTTGAACCCGGCAATCAGTTGTTTCGTTACAATCAAAGCATCTAAACCTGAGACTCTCTGCTTGTAGGCAGGGGGGTGAAACCGGCCAAAAATTTTAGCTTGACCCTATCCCCAAACCCACCCAATAGATGCTAGGTTGGAGCTGGGTGGCTAAGGTCTAGGTTGGCGTACCGGCATTGGCGCTAGGTTGGTGTTGATCGGAGAATATCTAGGTTATTGTTGCTTGGTGCTGCTTGCTAGGTTGTTACTGCGTGGGTAAGTGTTTTGTAGGTCGGTGGTGCTTGGAGCAGGGTGAGATCGCTCTTGGGTGGTAAACGGTGCTGGTGCAGGTCTGAATGGGCGGGACTGCCAAGTGTGGGTGCATGACTTATTTGCGTCCCCCTAGGTGCATCAAGTAATTCTCAAAAACGTCTGATGACAATAATCGTTTCCCCCCCTTCGTTCACTGCTGTCACGTGTGATGATGGCCACCGCGGCTGTCCTCTCTGTTGGTTAAAACAAGGTTGCGGACAGGCAAGCCATAGGCCGGCTACCTTCGCTCCACCTGCACCTGGGAGGTCGTGAGATTCTCAGGATTCCGGTCAACTTCGGCGAGACCGTAGAGTCACTAGGCAAGAGGATTGACAAGGTGGCTGTTAAAGTATGCCAAGCAGGAGGGGCGCTGTGAAGTGGCAGGGGGAGGGGTTAACGATTCCCCCCATTCATAATGCTTCTTTTTGGGCTGGGTTATATGCGACGGCGGTACTATTACTATTTTTTCATGTGTTGTTGGTGACCGTTGTCTACCAGATTTTGTGTGAATCCTGATAGATATAGAAGCGCTTCCCGGAGTTTTCGCGTTGGAAGCAAGTTGATTTTGAAAAGGATGTCGTATGATAGGTGCAAGGGCAAGCATCGCTAAATGCGCGAGTGGTCGCGTGGTGTCGTAACGCATGCGGTGCGGAGTTGATGGTTGTGGTGAATGCTAGGTTTACGTTGGTTTGCGTTTAATCCGCGTGCGTGTTTGGCCTTTGGCGTCGAGTGGTCTGCGTGCCATGATTTTTTTTGTGTCATGTGTCGAGTAAGGTGTTGTATGCAAAGTACCGTTCCATGTTTTTGTGAATCAAACACACCTATCCAGTACCATATGCATCTTTTGTCCCATGCCATGCAGGCGCCCCATGTGATGGACAACCTCAGGTTCTTGAAAAATTGGGGGCAGGTTGAGGAAGCCAGCTGTATGTCCGTGCGTGGATGGACACGAATGGTATTCGTTGCAAGACATTTTGTGCTCATTCGTTCGTTCACCGTTCATTGATGGGCTTGATTTGCGTGTGTCAGACGGGTAACAATGCAGCGGGGTCTACGAGACACCCACAACAGCAGGCGGCGAGGAGAAGCTCAAGGATGGCGTACTGCGATGCCCCTGTGCGTCATCCATGGGTCTGTCCCCCCGGCCGTAATATTGTTACGAATACACACAAGCACGCATGTTACTTACACTTAAATCAACGTTTCCTAATTGCCCAGATTTAGAGGCGGTGTGACTTCGTTTACGACCTCTGGTAGATCGAAACTGGGAACAAAGGCCGGCTTCGGAGTAACAAAGTTGATGGCAGATGTTCAGTTTCCCCAAGCCGGCGATAGGCTCAAACTCCTCGCTCAAATCAACCAAGCGGGGAGAGCTTAGACACAACGCTTCCGCTTCAGACAGAACCTCGCCCACGGTGCCATCAATATTTTAAGCACAAATGAGCTGAGCACCCAAAACATCAACATGCGGTGGCGGCCAGGACATATTTGCTCCGTGCAGCCTCCTAACATGGCGCCGTACAAAGTTGTTGGTGCTGTGGTGTTTTCTTTGCGCACCCTATCGGCACACGCAAGAACATCCCGAAACCAACCGTGTAGCCAACACCAGACTTCGATATTCGGGACACGTCCCACAACGCGCATTGAAGGCCGGCGGACCAATTCACTTCCTTGTTGCATACAAGATACCCTTAATAATAAGCTATCATGGCTGCCTATCGGGTCCCTCCGTAGAGACTGTGAGCATTCAGTGCCGAGCTGTTTAGTTGACCGAGCCGCAGAAAACATGTACTTCAATGCGATCCCCGGTCCAAGAAACAAAAACCAATTTCACAACCTAATGCAGTTTAGGCAACTGATACGATACCCGGCGCCCTCTTACCTGGCGCACATAACCATTTCTAACGTAATGTATGTGTCTTGCGCAGGTAACCGCGAGCCCCAGTGTACCCGTGCACTCGCCCTCCCCGTTTCATATACTGCACGCTATGCCATACCGTGTATGTCTGCACGCGAATAAATACTCAACACACTTAATCCCGTTTATACACTTCAACACAACCAAAGCAAACATCAATTTCACTGTTTAACTGGAGCAGCAGCAGAAGCAACGGTAAGAGAAGCAGTAGCGCCAACAACGAGAGCGAAAGATCGAGCACACACCGTAGCAGCAAGTAGCACACCCCAGTTTGGACATGTATATCGACGACGCAAGTCAAATAACCACCTCTCCCATCTGCACGTGCCCCTCCCGGTCTCGCTCGTGCTCCGTCAAGCTCGTGTATCCACGAAACACCCCGACCACGTTATGCCTGAAGCATCAAGCAAGGCCGCAAGATTCAGAAATAGGCAAAGGGGAAAAACAAGGGGGGAGGGGGGGGGGGGGGGGGG